GTTAAAAATATAGTCCATTTCCATTGTGATTTCTTCTTTGGTTCATGAATTACTTAGAAACTTGTTCAGTTTCCAAATATTTGGGGATTTCCCAGATTTCTTCCTGTTTTTGTATTCTCATTTAATTCCAATGTGTTTATGGAGTGCCTGGGTGGCTCGGTCGGTCAACTGACTTTGGCTCAGGTCATGATCTCACGGTTCGTGAGTTCAAGCCCCGCATTGGGCTCCGTGCTGACAGGTCAGAGCCTAGAGCCTGCTTCGGATTCTGTGTCACCCTGTTTCTTTGCCCCTCCCCTGCTCTCACTCTCTCAAAAATAAGCAAACATTAAAAAATTTTTAAAAATTCCAATGTATTTAGAGAACATACTTGTATTATCTCAGTGTTTTCAAATGTATCAACTGTGTTTTATGTTGTTTTTTCCTGTTTTTGAGGGGTATTTTTGCTAGAAATCGAATTGTCTTTTTCTTTCAGCAATTTGAATGTCATCCATCTTACTGCCTTGTGGCCTCAATGTTTTCTGATGAGAAGTCAGCTGTTAATCTTACTAAGGATAGCTTGTATGCATATTTTTAGATGCTTATTATATGTCCATTTGAATATGAGTCTGGAGTTTAGGGGAGAGAGGTCCAGGCTGGATGAGCTCACAAAAGGTGTGAGTACAGAAGACGACTAAGTACTGAGTCTTAGGATACTACAGTACCTAGAGGTAGGGGACATAAGGAGCCATCAGAGTTGTCTGAGAAGGATTAACTGGTGGAGGATTAACAGTAGGAGAGTATGGTGTTATGGAAGTCAAGTGAAGGAAGTGTGTCAGGGAGATGGGAGTAATGTGCTATTTCACATGCTGTTGAGAGATCAAATAAGGTGATAAGAAATAACCAGTGGAAGTCATTATGGATCTTTGATCAGGGCAGTTTCATTGGAGCAACTGAGGTGAAAGTCTAATTGGTGTGGATTTACTAATGAAATGGGAGGAGAATTGGATGCATTAAGTTATAGGCAACTCCTTTGGGAAACTTTGCTGTAAATAGGAGCAAATGGGGTAATAGCTAGAGTTTGTTTAAAATGGAAGGAATTTTAGCATGTCCCTTAACACTGATTCTTCAACCAGCCCTGTATTTCTTAAGTTTGAAACTTTAAATTTGATTATTTCAATTCAGAAGTTAGAAATTTTCACTTTACACTAAGATTGACTCAGGGGATTTTCCCTTTGGAGGGTATTTGTAGCGTTTATACCTGTCTGAGTCTTTTTTGGTTATTATCCCTAAGCTTGCATCTGGAATGAGCACTGCATACTCTATTCAGGTCGTTAAATCCTGCCATTAAAACATCTTCTAGGGTTCCATTTTTGTACCACCTTCTTCATGAAAGTCACCAGCAATGGTTTCTCACTTCTTAGAAAGCAAGTAAATGTGGAAATATAGAACATTTACTTAAGCAGCTTCTGTGTCAAGAAAACTGCTACACAATTGCAATAAATGCAGTATTTTTACTACTCATTTTGGCCTTTAGTAAAATGTGACCTTGTGATTTTAACTAGTTCATGCATTTCCCTAATTAAATTGAAAACTCTTTGAGGCCAGAAGATTACATTTTCTTTCATATGCCCCACCATGATTTACTACAGCATTAGCTCATTGAATGTTGCATGAACATGAAATATTACTATTTGCCATGGAAGAGTTTTTTATAGATGGGTTCTTAGATTAGCTTAGAACTTTATATTTTATAAGGACTCAGGGCCCTGGAGTGTAGCCTGAATTTAACCCTGACTAGCAGTATTGTCTGTTCCAGGTAACTTTTAAGTACTTGGGTGGTATTAAGTTTATGACAGGAATTCTCAGGCTTTCGCTACACATGGGAATCACTTGGAAGCCTTTAAATCCTGAGGCCTACCCTAGAAACTGATTTAATTGGTCTGAAGTATGGCCTGGTCATAGAGATTTTTAACCCTCCACTGATGATTCTAACATGCAGCCTAGGAGGAAGAAATCCACCATTAGAAGAGCTTGGAGTCCCACCCTTCACCTTCAGTTCTGCTCACTTACAGCTATAAGTAAATATTACCAGTACATTTAATCTTTTATATTATTCAGTAATTTGTTTTTTCCCTCCTTGTAGTTTCTTATCTCAGTCATCACTATGGTACTTCTGACACTGATAACTGTCACACTGGATCCTCCTCAGAAATTACCGGACTTATTTTCTGTGTTGGTTTGTTTTGTATCCTGCTTACATTTCCTGTTCTTCTTAGTCTACTTTAACATTATAATCATGTGGGATTCCAAAAGTGGAAGAAACCAGAAGAAAATCAACTAGGTACATCTGCAAACACGTGAAAATATTAACAGTGCTTAAACGGTTTTTGAACTTTTTGCTGTGTATAAATAAAATTATCATTTTGAGGATCATGGAATTACAGGGAAAAGATGGTGAAAAGTCATTGTTGTCTATACAAAGTAAATCTATATGGGATCCAAGCCCAGTGGAGGCTTTTATTTTCTAACTATTGAGTGGCCAAGACATACTGTAGTTTTATAATATTCAGTTATCCAAGTGGGAAAATAAGAGAAAATGCCCTTAATCCCAGGATTAACTCAGGAAATATACAATTTGTTGTCTTAAAGAAAATCTGCAAATCCAGTGAACTCACTAGGAGAATTTAACCCTTCTTTTTAAAGGAAATTACTAATTTTGGTATTTAAATTTCGTTTTCCTTCCTTGGAATACAAGTAATGTGTATTTCATTCTTTAGAAATCTATCTCAGGGTTTAAATTTGTGACAATCTTTTAAATTACTGTGAGAAGGCAATTTAAACTGCTTGAAGTTTGAACATGCCTCATTACATGGTACAAGTTTGAATTTCTTTTTAACAGGCAGAGAGGTTAAACCATGTTTTTATTTTTTCCAAAATGCCGATTTACTTAAATGCAATTTAACAGTGAATTTTCTTGAATTTAAATCTAAGTGGTCTGAGTGATGTCTTTTTAATTACTCATGATCACTAGTTCTAAACTTCCAGGATCATTCTGTTTAAGTTAAATGGTCTTATGCAGGATTTCATCCTTCTGATCTTTTTATTGTTGTTGTTGTGACATGGTTCAGGATAACCACTTCCATAGCATTGATTCATATCATGTTTCATATTGACTTGGCTCTGTTAATGTATCATTCTATATTAGGAGAAGCTCATCTTTACTGTCATATTCAATTGGTAAAAATGTATCATATCGATGTTATAGTTTCTTATGTAAAGATGTGTTGTCTAGATGTGTTGTCTTTACTCTCTGTGATAAGAATAAAACAATTATTTTCACATCAACGTGTGTTTTTAATGAATATATTTCTTTTATAAGATAGCCATTAAAGTATCTTGACTGGTGATACATTTTAAAACAATGAACACATATACACAAAGAAAATTTGGTTCTAGACATGGACAGCCACAGGCTGATACAAGAAGGTGTGTACTTCTAAGTCTGATAAAGGAAGTAAATACATTTAGACAAAGCAAAAATCAGGAAGTATTTCTTTTTCGAAGCAAATGTGCATAAAGACTCAAAGGGCAGGTCAGCACAGAAAAGCAGCCTTGAATCACTGCCGAATCAGCAGGAACACTGCTGTCCATGGTCACCATCTGTAATCACTGTGCCCAAATGTCAGCATCTTGGCTGGCTGGTGTAGTCCTATTTTTTTATTTTTTATTTTTTGGAATAGCATACATAGGTTTAACACAGGATGTTGATTTAAATCGATGATGAGGAAGTTCTAACTTCTAAATAACTGGAACAGAGAAACATTTGAAAAAGTGTGTAAATATTAATAAAATAGAATATGTACATATTCAAAGGATGTTATGGGCAAATTCTTTATACATTTTCCAGATTTAACCTAATCATATTGAGTTAACATTGTAGCTTTTATGGAGACTTGTAGCAATTATAAGTCAAGTATGTCTTAACTATCTGTTAGAAACCAATTTAAGAAGAGTCCACTCTGAACTTGGATTAGGTTCCAAAATACCAAAAATGGGGGCACCTGGATGGCTCGGTTGGTTAAGCGTCTGACTTCTAATGGTCATGGGTTCAAGCCCTGTGTTGGGCTCTGTGCTGACAGCTCAGAGCCTGGAGCCTGCCTGCTTCAGATTCTGTGTCTTCCTCTCTCTGTGCCACTCCCCTGCTTTGTTTTCTCTCTCTCAAAAATAAACATTAAAAAATTAAAAAACAAAAACAAAATACCAAAATTGTCCAGTGATGAATTAAAAACACAGAAATAGGCAATTCTAAAGTATTTCAGTGACAGGATTACTGGGATATCTAAATATAAAGATATTTAGGTAATGCAAAAATATTAAAGATTTCTCACTTCACTAATCTACCTGTCAAAAAAAATGAACCCTTCTAAGTTATTTTCAAGTTCAGTTTAGAGGGAAGGGCCCTTTCTGAGAAATGCAGTTTTCTCTGTTGCCAATAAACTTAGGTTTGCTTCTTAAAATGAAGAGAACAGGGTGTATGTTCATGTATCAAATATGAAGCATACAGAAGCCATTTTCCTTTGAGGCCTTAAGGAGGGGAGAAAAATCCCAGATGTAGCATTCTGTCCAAATGATAAACCACAACTAAGTGAGTGAAACATTTACAAAAGTCAGGGCAGCCAAAGGAGCCTCTCTGTTCAATAGAAAGAGTAAAAGATGGATAGGATGTAACTAAATAAAGGCTGGAGTAACACAGGGGTTTCAAGTCTCAATTGGTCTCTCTTCTGTTATGTTCATTGGAAGATCAGGGCCAAGTGTATCCCCCGCCTTCCTCCATGCCGCACCCCCTCCCCCCCATATAAACATTAGTTTTGTGTGTGGATCTTTCTGCTTTGTCCTTCATGTGGCCTCCAAGGGTGATAAAGCGAGAGTCATCTGATCTACAATGAAGAGGACTGGGAAATGATTCTTAGCAGACCCAGCTGTTCTGAAAGGCAAAAGCTTAGTATATCAAGAGGTCAAACATACAGTAACTGATTTAATAGCATTAAGTACATACCTACATAACTTGCATTACATATGAAACCAAACTACTTCTTAACCCTTTAATTCCTGACTAATGTAAGTTTCTTTATATGCTTTGGCTTTACATCCTAAGGTTAGTTTTCAGTGCTAGAACACAAAAAGAATTATTCTTTTTGGTATATTTTCAGTAATATCCTATTACAAGGACTGTATCACAAAGTGTTCTTAATATTTAGCAGATTATCTTAAAAGTCTTATTTAAATAGTACCAATAAAGTCATTAGTGAAGGCAATTAGGTTTAATAGTTAATTGGGTTACTATTTAGTATCTATGTCATTTAATAGTTCTTAAAACCCATTTTCATTTTAAGAAGTAAATCTGAAATTTCTCTAAATGGGAAATTAGTTATTTTCAAACAAGTTAAATTTTGTTTCAGATTTTCATACAGTATTTTTATTTCATGATACAGTAGTATCTTCCACAAATTTTATCAAGACTTAGGGCAAGTACCAAGGGAATAGCATTTTTTCCCCTGCAGAAGTGGTCAAAGAAAAATACAGAAGTTTTAAAAAACCGTGTTATCAAGTTATAACACATCCTGTGATACCCTCTTCCCCTTGTTTCGTGAGAGTACAGATGATTATAATACAAAATAACACCACAGAAAAATAGAAATTTAAAATAATGTTTCAAAATCATTTGGAAGGAATCAAAATGATTCCTGACCCATAAGAAAGGTCCTTTCAATTCAGTACAGTGTGTAGTTCAGTTTAAGAACAACTTCATATTTTAAAATGTACTGAAAAATGCATTCCACTATTCTATAAAAGGGATAAAAATTTTTAAACATTGAAATAGTTTTTCTGCACAAACATAGGAATAACTAGAATATAATAAAGACTCGTCCCCGAGACAGTGGCTATACAATAAACTTCTTGAAAATTCTGTAAGTGTAAAAAATCTAATTAATACACATCTGGGGCTTTAAATGGGAAAGTGGTACCTAATTCCACTCACCATTAGATTTAATCTGAGCTTTAAAACATACAGTTTTACCAAAGGTGCCATTTTCATAAATGTTCTAAGTCTATCCACAAATGCTAAAAGTATACAGAAGTGTATGTGATACAGAATTGAAGTCAAGATCTTGTTCTACATGTTGGCTTACATTAAAGGGTCAAGAAGAAATGTATTATTTACATTGAGATTATCTACTGCTGTGTGTAGAAAGTTTAAATTAGCTGCAAGAAATTTTATCTAGACACACACCTGCCTAGTGCTATGATCTGGTATTTACTGGGCAGATTAATTACAAACATTTCTTCTGTTCCTTTAAATATGATCAGGCAGATGCAGAAGAAGTTGGTGTCCATAGTAAGTGCATTTCTTCTAAATGTCTGCAGGATATAAAAGATGATTGTTAAATCAAGAATTAGTTTCCAAATTAACATGCATCTCATACACTACTTAAGACACGATTTAAACACCCATTTACCATGTAATTTGGTACCTAGTTTAGATATTGGCAATCTCTCATTTGCTTATTTTTGAATCTTCTAAGCAACATTCACCTTCACAAATAATTGTCAGTATGATTACTCAGACATCACACTCTTCACTTTATGTGAAGATTTATCTGAGATACTTCTGAGAGATTTCTGAAACTCCTACATGATCTACTTGCTGAAAACACCAAAATCTACATGCCTTTTGTCTGTAAGCCTTAAGGGCCTTTCAGCAGGTGTTTCCTCCAACAGCTGCCCCCCAAAAAAAGAGACTGTATTTACTGACATTCCTATTCAGCGAGTGTCCCTCTGGGGACTCCTAGTGGTGGCAGAAGTTCTTGTCATTTGGCTTAGGACCTTTGTGTGAGAGGACGTCTTTGACAAGAGCAGCTATTGGCAAGTGATGACACATTTCCCATAGGGCATGTGGACCTTTGATTCCTGAAATACCCCATTCATGCTTACACCGGCAGCCATGAAGAAGTAATGCATGGTAGTCCCCTATATTTCCCTATTCATGGGAGTCCACATATATTCTTGTCCTAGAAGAAGGTAGGGTGCCAACTTAAAAACCAACTCTTGCCAACTTGAGTCTGGTCTGAATTCCTATAGAAGATTTTAAGCACTCTAGTATTAACTTAATATCCCTGTAGGTTATTGATACATAGTTATCAGAACTAATGACAATACCATTCAGGAAAGGAAGACTATCATTAAATAGTTACTATGGGGGAGGTGCTAGTTAAGCTTATTCTGTACAATCTCATAAGGTAAATATTATCAGTCCCATTTTATAATTAAGATTTAGGGAAACCAAGTGCCTTACTTAAGGCCACAGAGCTAAGTAGGTAGCAGAGCTGGTGCGGGACGTGTAATCCAAATCCTGTCCTCTGTTATAATGCCAGACCATGCAGAGAAGTTTCATCGATTGATCATGACTGCTAGAAGGGAGCATAGCATGTGTATTATCTCTACACTGCCATACTGGCTCTGGAGATGAATTATCTCAGAACACAAACAAAATACAAGTTAGACATAGTGATGCAGTTCATGAGCAGTATTTTGACAGAATTCATCCTTCGTATAACAACTATATTCTCTCTGAAATATATTTTGGATTGTTACTTCCCTAAACAATAATCTTCACTGGTCCACTTCTGCCTAAGGAATAAAGTCTGAACTTATTAAGCCTAGTGATCAGAACTGTCAATGATGTGGTTGAGCCTACTGTTCAATCGTTCTGCTTTTCTGCCTTTTTGTTCATGTTGTTCTCTCTGCCTCGTATGTTTATACAGCCCATCAAAATTACCCATTTTTCAAATTCAAGCTTCTTAGTAAAGTACAAAGTTTCCATTACTAGGGTCTGGAAGGTCCTCTGTCAGACATAATGTAGAGTGAAATAACTAGATTTGATTTTCAAAGAATGAACTCTTAAATAACGACCTAATCACTCCATCCTGAGGTGATCTATGTCTGTTGTGTATTTCTATACTATTGCTTATTCTTCATTTGGTTCTTAGTTTATACTCCTTGGTCTGAAGAGGAAGGAACTGTCAATTATTCTGCTCTCTATACTCCATGGAGGAGTGACAAACTTGACTGGCCAAAGTCCAGAACATTGGTCTACATTTTGCCAGTAATATTATATGTCACTCTTTTTACACAACACTCTTTCCCATTACTGAGTTTCCCTTTCACTGTCTACTCTCAAGTCCAATGCATCTTTGGGCTTCCTAATTTCATGTTGTAAAGAGACCAGCCCATTTTATCTATCTCATCTGCAATCAAGCATAGGCAGGTCTATTTCAAAGTTCCGGCTTTCTCCTCAGGTTCAAGGTTTAGATTCACAGGGTTCAAGATTTAGACTCAGTGTGGGAGACAGGAGGTTCCATTTCTGCCTTAGGCACAATCTATATTAGTTACCCCAAGTTTCTGCCAGAGGATCTGCCATGTTGGAGGTTATCAATTCCTCCAACTAATTAAGTTGATACTTGGATCCTCATTGGACTCCTAGTCCCTTTTTGTACTTGCTATTGGTCAGAATCCTGGAAAGAAGAGGGGAGAGAGGTCTGAATTTGTACTGCTTATTATAGTTTGCCTTATATTATTATCATTTTATGTGTATAATATTAATCTTGTATCTTTAGCTTGACTACTAGGTTTTAAAAGGTTGGCATTATGCAAGTGCTTTGTTTATACTAAGCCATATACTTTTGTTCACCAAATGATGTATCCAATTTTTTCTAGATGAAGTATCCCAATATCTCCTGCAGTATCACCTATTACTATTTAACCCACACCATGCTTCCACCATCCCTTTGCTGGTCTTTGTACGCCTGTGACCCATAGGTTGCTGCCTCTCTTACTGACAGTATCTCTTATTCTAACATGATTTTATAAAGGCTTTGTTTGTTAAAGGCTATGGGAGTGAATCCGTATGGGTTATTTCCCCCAGTAAATAATAGAGGTCAGGAGGAATAATCACTGAAGTGTGAAAGGGCAGGAGCTGATGTGCAGACAGGGAAGCTGGCCACAACGGTATCAGGAGTACTGTGACTGTCAGAGGTTTCTAGGGCACAGGCCAAAATGAGAGAACATGGAAGAGAGACCTGAGGAAGCCTAATGTAAGGTGAGTTATAAGAAGGTTTTGAAATACGGGTAAGTTTTTGACAATGACGGGAAAAACGTATGTCAAGCAAAGGAGACAGGAACAAAGATAAGGGAATGAGAAAGATTCTCTCTGAGGAATGTGCCTGAAGAATGGTACATAATCTGGACTGAGGCACAAGGACAAGGAAAGCTGTGGTCACATGAGGGAGAGTTCTGAATGTCAGTATAAATTTGATTTTACTGTGAATGTGGTAGAGTGATACCTTCTTAAGCATAATTTGTCCAGTAGCAGAACAGGCTGTAGGGGAAAGGGAGCAAGGGGCAGAGAGGCAGGTTACCATAGGGAGGATAATATGGATGAGAGGTAATGAAGGAATAAACTAGTGCAGGGGTCATGGAAAGGAGAGGTAAACATTTTCGGAAGTGATCTAACCTGGCAGCAGTTGGGTATGGGGCCACAAAAAGGGACAGAAATTTGAGGTTTTGAGTCTTATCACTGGATGAGTGTAATCCCTAGAAAAAACAGAAATGAGGAAGAATTTGGGGGGGGGGAAATAATAAAAATCAGCGCATTTGGGGGACAATATATGGCAACTGAGCTTGTGGGTTTACAGCTCAGGAGAAGGTCACAAATTGATTTGGAAACCATAAACAGTACTACACTAAGGTGGAACTAAAGCCAAGGAATGGGTGAGATCACGAAGAAACTGCCCAAAACACAGTCAAAAGAACCCAGGGAAATGCCTCAAAGGTGAAGTCCAGTTTCATTTCTTTGTCTTTTCCCTCCACTGCTTCCCACTGAAAAGGAAGTTGAGTGGTAGGTCAACTTTCATTCTTTCAAGTCTTTTGAAAGTACTCCTCAAGTTAAAGACTCAGAAGAACATGCCTGATGTGTGATGATCTTGGGGCACCTGGGTGGCTCAGCCAGTTAAGTGTCTGACTCTTGATTTTGGCTCAGGTCGTGATTTCATGGTTGGTGGGATTGAGCCCCATGTCGGGCTCTATACTGATAGCATGGAGCTTGCTTGGGATTCATTTTCTCTCTCTCTCTCTCTCTCTCTCCCTCCCTCCCTTCCTCTCCCTTTCCTTCTTTGTCTCTCTCTCTCTCCCCTTCTCTCTCCCTCTCTCGCTGCCCTTCCCCTGCTCCCACTCTCTCAAAACAAACATTAAAAAAAGAAAAACATGTGATGATCTTTACTAGAATCCAGCAACACAAAGCTATTCCCAGCACGCCTTAGTTACCTGAAGTTCATGGATGAGACTGTCATATACTAAATGCATATGTTCTCTGCCAGATGTATGACTGTCTTCTAATAGTTTCTGTTGGATTTCCATGGACCAGAAATTGTATAAAATGTTTAGTCCTATAAGTATGTGTGTATATGTATATATATTATATCCTTCCTGTTTAATGGGATCTAAAACCTCTGACCAATAGAGAAACCTGAAAATCACACATCACTATTGTGAGTGAGCAAAGCACCGTCTCTAGCACCAGACTACTCAGGTTAATATCCTGGCTTTGCCTCTTAGGTAATTCTGGGACAAGGTATTTACATTTTTTTAAATGTTGATTTATTTTTGAGAGAGAGAGATAGAGCGTGAGCAGGGGAGGGGCAGAGAGAGAGGGAGACACAATCTGAAGCAGGCTCTAGGCTCTGAGCTGTCAGCACAGAACCTGACATGCGGCTTGAACTCACAAACTGCGAGATCATGACCTGACGTGAAGTCGGACACTTAACCAAATGAGCCACCCAGGTGCCCCAGGACAACGTCTTTGTGCCTCTGTTTCCTCACCTATAAAATAAAGATAATAACTATATATCATGTAAGTTGTTGAAAAGGTTAAATGGAATATATATAAAGTCTGGCACATTGACAGTGCTCAATAAATGTTAGCTATTATTATAAACTATTATTTGTAGTGTACAACAGAATAAACATTCTAATGAATGAAAGTGACACAATTTTGTGTATAAGATGCTTTGCAAATATTTTTAAAACAGCTAGTTTGTTAGGAAGCTAATACTAATAATTTTAAATACCATTTCCAAAGAAATGGATTGTCAGTATAGAATTCATTTTGCATTAACTTTTTTCCTAAGAGATAGCAGGCAACATCTGGTTAGCTTCTAAGAATCTTAATTAATATTGATGCCACTAAGTCTGAGATAGGCTAGCTCTTCATGCGAGCTTTCAGTTATAGGTACATTAGACACTAATATCACATTATGACTCATACTGCTTCTAGCTAATATGTTATAATAAGCTAGTTATAAATCTATCATTATTACTTACATTGCTGAATCCATAGGGAACTGTTGTGAAGGAAAGATACAACTAATTAATATATAATTATTTACTTAATTTAGCACATTTCCAAATTCAAAGACTTGTTATATCTTGTTCAGTCACATGTGTCCTACAGAAACTATAACCCACCTGTCAGTATCTAATTAGTTATTTATACTAAAGGTGCTAAATTAAGAGCCCCCTTTACACTCACCTAAAAATATGTGCTAGCTGATCAGCCTAGCTGATGGTGTTCTTTTCAATCAGCCTCTAACTCATACATTTTGTCAGACTGTCCTCTTATTTATAAAATTAGATTATAATTTCAACAACAGCTCCAAAGTTCATGTTCCTATTTTCTTTATAGACAGTACCAAATTTGATAATGTAAATAAAATGTTTCCACATGAACAAAACAATGAAATTTAACAAGGCTAACCTTAATTAGAAAGGTGAAACCCTGGGGTGCCTGGGTGGCTCTGTTGGTTAGGCATCTGACTTCAGCTCAGGTCATGATCTCACAGTTTGTGAGTTTGAGTCCCCTGTCAGGCTCTCTGCCGTCAGTGCAGAGCCGGCTTCAGATCCTCTGTTTCCCACTTTCTGTGCCCCTCCCCTGCTCATGCTCTCTCTCTCTCTCAAAATTGAATAAACATTAAAAAAAAAAAAAAAGAAAAGAAAGGTGAGATCCTACCTCAGTTTAAAATGCCTTTAAGGAATTCATAGCTGTCAAGATGATATAATTCTGTAAGAAAGAAAAGTGTTTTTTTCAAAAAACAGCTTAAAGTAAGTTGTCACAGTATATGATGCAGAATAAATGCTGAATAGAATGAAATTAAAGAGCCTAAACATAAAGTTTTATTTTACATTATAAATAGCTTTGGTGCTACAAATTCTCATTTCAACATCTTACTGATTTGCCTAATTCTGAAACATACATTTTAGAATTTAGGATAGAAAGTGCTGAGTGGGAGAGAGCCAAAGCATAAGAGACTCTTAAAAACTGAGAACAAACTGAGGGTTGATGGGGGGTGGGTGATGGGTATTGAGGAGGGCACCTTTTGGGATGAGCACTGGGTGTTGCATGGAAACCAATTTGACCATAAATTTCATATATTGAAAAAAAAAAAGAAAGTGCCAAAAAACTTATTACTATTATAATACATGCTTATCCTTTATTATACATACTTATCTTCTGTGACAGATTCTATAATCCTGAGGGCAGGACCAGGTCTGTCTGGTTCCTTAGTATATCACCAATGCTAGAACAGTGCCTGGCTCATAAGAGGCATTCAAAAAGTATTAAATGGATGAGGCACGTAAGGAGATAGCAATTTCTAAGTATTTGAAAATATTTACATTCTTTTAAGAAATCCTTAGAATTGCATTTGTTTTTATTCATTCATTGAACATGCACTGTGGATCTTCTATCCAGGTTCTATACGAGGTTCTGAGGCTACAATATAGAGATATGACTTTTGTTTGTTTGCCAAGGAGGAGCCCGGAAGGAGCCCTGTAACCAGACGATTACAATATACTGCGACACTACAACGTTATACATTTATAAACATTCAGACAAGTGTTGTAGATGCCTAGAAGAGGAAGCAATTTCATTTTACCTAGGTGAGCTGGGGAGAGTCACAGAGGATGTGACATCTGAGGCTGACCTTAAAGAATGAGCAGGAGTTCGCTAGACAGAGAAGGAAGAAAGAGCAATCTAGGCAGAGAAAGGAGCAGGAGAGGCCTGGAGTTCTGAGAGATTCCAGAGGGCTGAAGCATAAGGTGTGAACAGTATGAATTAAAATGACTTCTTTCCTCCTATATGAGGTCTGAGCTAGACGAAAAATCACCTAATACTTACTTTTCACAGAAATCTTGCTTTAACTACTTAATTAGCTATATAACACTATAAATATCTGCTTTATTATTCTCCATATGTGTTTAAAATACATAAACCACTTAGAGAATTTATCTAACTCTTTTTTGAGGAGCTTTCCTGACTACTCTAAGAGTTAAAATGGGGGAAAAAATGTTCACCTGTCAGGTGACATAAAACCAATTTCTACTAAATGTGCCAGAATAATTTTTCTCCACCTCAAAAACGGTTAGTCTTCAGTCTGTTCATTACTGTCTTTTTATAGTATTTTTATTTAATAAAACCTATTAAGACTACCATACAAATCTCTTTACTTATGCTTTTATCTTTTAACTGATCAATTTTTATATTGCTGACATCCCTTCTTCACCATTTGCTCATTTAAAAATTCATAGTATGTGAGATATGTCTCTGGAGAAAATGTCTATAAAATTTGTTACAGCTGGCAAATGTGTATGAGTCAGTGATAGCACATGACTAAATGCTTCACAGAAAATAAAATTTGTTTCTGTAGTAAGCAGAACTGTTTAAATGTTATTTATTTTTATGTTTCAAAGAAAATATATTGTGAAGTGCTGCATTGATTTAATACGCAACAATGTCTGTGTACATGCTGTAGAAGGAAAATTTATGAAACCTTTGCACAACTCCTTTAATTGAATTTTCCAAATCTCTCACCACACACAAATAATCAATATCTTCTGCAGAGAAAACCAGTCAGAATTATTACTGTCTTTCGTTTCAATTTTGTTGTCATCAGCACATACGGAGCACCTGGATATTCGTAACGTCTGATACCAAGTTATTTACACCTCTTAAACACATAATTGCTATTAAGTGAGTTCAAATCTATGGTTTAATTTTTTTTTACAGATTATTTAAAATATAAAAATGATCATACTTCTAAAGAAGTATACAAAAATTTAAATCATGGAAAAAATTATTTAAAAGGCTTTGAAAAGTAATAAATCAGTTTGTTTTTCCTTAAATCCTAGACAAATCTCAAGTAAGCAGTCAAAATGTATCCCCAAAACAGTGATGAACAGTGTAAAATAAGAGCATTAACATTATTAATAGGAAAACTATGAACCACGTACAACATACATGAAAATTGAATCCTGATACAGAGCTGAAGACTACAGTTGTACATTAATGTATATCTGTGTCACCAAAACTAATACCTCCATTTTTTATCTCCAGATAAACCAAGAACGTTAAGACATAGGAAGGAATTTTTGTTGTTTCTTCTAAAGCTCATCATGTCTAAACTTCAGACTCCAGTGCTTTTAAAACTGAAGTATTTGTCTGAACAAAGATATTGTTTAATGTTAAGGTATGAAAAGCTAAAAGGGTAGTAGTCTTCTAGGGAGTGAAATCACTTGGCCGACATGATAAATGCTTTTTCAAGACTGAGTGGAGGAAAGAACAACATAATTTTAAGTTAAAAAATACTTCAGTGGATGGTTAGAATGAAAAGGCAGTATCAAACTACTTTATAGTCTTAGAACAGAAAGAGTTTAAAATTTGTCCTCTAGTCCAAGAATCTGAAAACTTTAAAATCCTATAACCCAGATGAATTTTACAATGTAAGACAGTAAGTTAGCTAAAGAAAACAGAAACATAGTTTGTGCTTTTCTTTTGAAGGCCACAGCTAGAAATTCTGAAATATTTTGTATTACAAACAGCTGAGACAATCAACTTTTTTGAACAATGTAAAGTTCAGATGGTTACATTTCATTTCAAATATGCATACTGCAACCTACACAATTATTCTCAAAACAGATAAAATATGTTTTGGACTAAAGCTAAGTGTCTAGATTTCATATCTTGGCAATGGCTCTACAATTTGCTTACATTCTTTTCAAAAACATTTTGTTTACTGAAAGTACTGGTCATAGACAAACAATGATGGTATTTTCTAATATCTGCAGAAAAAATGAAAATACTAAGTACTATATAATGCCATCTATTGACTTGGGAATATCTGTATTAAGTTGTTTTAAGTAGAGGTTGATTATATAAAGTAAATAAATTTCATGCCTTACCATGTGATGATAATGTGACATTCCATCTGTATCAACTCACTGAATGGTCATGTTTTAAATCTTCAGCATAACAAATTAAGAATAATTATGAAAATTCACATCCAAATCTGACAGAAAAAGGACCTTTCATCTCATTATTTTTCTAAGAGTCATAAAGCCAATATTATTTAGGAAAGTGAGGTTAGGCTTACTTCCTAAGTAACTGAAAAAAGAAAGAAAGCTTTCCTTTGTTTAAGAAAATGGTACTTAGCAAGAGAGATCCTCTTTTATTCATATACTCTATCAAAGCATTCCCTGATTTGCAACGTCCAGTTCTTTTCAAAACTATGAAAATCTCAGTGTACCTTTTAATGTTATTGTGTATGTTTTAATTTTCCCTGAATGTTACATAAAGCCTTAAGAATGTGTGTCAGATGTCTATTTATTTAAATCACTAAGCATGTTATTTTTACAATCATACTGCTCTGCCTGTCATAAAGACTGCAACGGATGCCAAACAAGCTATTTTTCCTGCCATGGAAAAATAAATAGAACTAAAGGACCAAGCTGAAGGGGCAACAATAGCATAAATGCTGGAATTTTCCTGATTTTGTCTATTTTAACTATCCTAGGAAAATTTTATGAGAATCTGAAGGACATTCTTTTGATAGTAAAACAAGTAATTTTTTTCTTAAAAAAAATTTTTTTTTCAATGTTCATTTATTTTTGAGAAACAGAGAGAGACAGAGAGTAAGTGGGGGAGGGGCAGAGAGAGGGGAAGACAGAATCCGAAGCAGGTTCCAGGCTCCGAGCTGTCAGTACAGAGCCTGATGCAGGGCTCGAACCCATGAAATGTGAGATCATGACCTGAGCCAAAGTCAGACGCTTAACCAACTGAGCCACCCAGACGCCCGTGTTCTTATTTTCATTCAGTACCTAATAAAACAAATCCCATACATATTATGGGAGTTGTTTTTATATTATATAATTTCTAATATTATGAATATTCCCAAAACATTTTAAAATTTAAACAATTCTAGATAATAGCATAGTAAAAGAAAGGAGTACATTAGAAATTTCTATAAAAAGCTGAAGGCTTGATCCCTAAATAAGGAATGTATATACAAAGCAAATTAGTTTCACATGCCAAAGCACTAGCAAAGTCCTTGTAAAATGAATGTGTAAATAAAAGGGGTTAAAAATTAACTCAGCAAAAAAGTTATACACATATATACGTATATATATACATATATACGTATATATGTATATATATATGTATATATGTATATATATATGTATATATGTATATATACATATGTATGTATGTATATACATATGTATATATACATATGTATATATGTATATATATATATGTATATATATATGTATATATGTATATATATATGCATGTGTTGGTATCATCTTTAATCAAAAACAAAATAAAACCACCAAAATAAAAAAATATATATATTACGAACCAGAGAGAGAAAGAAAAACACTCAGTAAAAATACTCAAACTCATATTATAAAAAAAGTAACCTTCAAAAGATTTTTCAGACAATACTTTTAAAAAATTAGTTAAAAGGCTAACAAAGATTTGAATAAACTCAGGAAATATTAAGAGCTAAAGCAGCTCTTGCCAAGAAACAGAAACAGAAGATGACATATATTGTGATATATATAGATATAAAATATATATCTATATACATAGCTACTACATATTTTATGTATCTAAATTCAGTTTTCATTTACACCACAACAAATATTCAATTCTTATTAGAAATTTTAAAACATGATGTAGTCACAGGACCTCCTTTATACATGAACAAACACTTGGCCCTTAGGGAAGGCCTGGTAAAGGGCAAGTCAGTTTTAATGCCTAAAATACTAGAAAATAGTTTTTTTTTTTTATTTAAAAAAAAAAATTTTTTTTTTCAACGTTTATTTATTTTTGGGACAGAGAGAGACAGAGCATGAACGGGGGAGGGGCAGAGAGAAAGGGAGGCACAGAATCAGAAACAGGCTCCAGGCTCTGAGCCATCAGCCCAGAGCCCGACGCGGGGCTCGAACTCACAGACCGCGAGATCGTGACCTGGCTGAAGTCGGACGCTTAACCGACTGCGCCACCCAGGCGCCCCTAGAAAATAGTTTTAAGGCTGGTCATGTATATACACAAAGAATTGGTATATACTAGATAACTGAAAGGAGACAACTTTTTACCACATGTCTTAATAAATGTCTTAATAAATGTTCAGGGAGGGAAAAATACTTTTGGAAAAAATTTTTCCCATTATTAAAATGATGATTCATTTATTTATTCTACAACTTTCCCTTCCTCATTTCTCAAAACTTGGTGAAAGCCAACTATGTAAAGCCTAATTCTAGTCAATTCTAGAAAATTACAGATTAAAAAAAAAATATTCATACCACTGGCACAGAATATAAAGAAGAGAGATTTCCTCTAGATGGGAAATAATAATCATTACAATTTCCCATTATGATCCTCTAAAATCTCTCATGTTAAAGGAGACTAAAACCACTGAAATCCAGTTACACATTATAATCAAGTTTCACAGTATAGGAGGGAAGAGACCTCAAGTCTTTTCTAAGAGCTGCTTTCATGTTCTTAAATTCTTGCGATCACGGCGGAAGTTAGCTGCTCAACTGAAAGGCTCAGGAAGCCTGCTCAGCTCTCTTCCCACATGAGTTCTGGAGGAGTACTGCCAGGGCTCTTGCCCTGTATTAATTACCCAGGTGGCCTCGGAAGTAAGCAGCAGGGAATCCCAACACTTCCCGCGGCAGTCTCACCACAGACTTGTTAAAGATCCTAAATAATCCTAAATATAGTCTCATATACTAGATTGGCTGAAGTAGTTTCAGTTATGCCTCATATGTTTGCAGGGATTGCAAAATGGCATTGATGTCAGTAATATTAAAATGATCCTTCTTAAGTTGGTCTAAAGGTTTTAATATTTTATAGTCCACGATCGTTTTGCTTACTGAGGTATGGATATGCATGTGTTATGGGAAAACCTACTAATTTCGTTTCCCATACTGTGAAATGATCAGAGGCATATGGGTTCACAGTAGATCAAACATCATTAATGCTCTGAAAGTTTTCAGAACACTGGTTACCGAGTAACTTTTTATGCAATGTATAATCCTAATTCAACACCAAAAATTGTTATATATTAATGCATTGTTGCCCCTATTTGTCTGTATTCTCAAGAACTTTTAATAAAACGACCAATTTAAATCTTAAACTGAAAATTGTATTTCAAAAGATATTTTAAAAGTTTAATCATTGGGCGCCTGGGTGGCTCAGTCGGTTAAGCGGCCGACTTCGGCTCAGGTCATGATCTGGCGGTCAGTGAGTTCAAGCCCCGCATCGGGCTCTGTGCTGACAGCTCAGAGCCTCGAGCCTGTTTCAGATTCTGTGTGTCTCTCTCTCTGACCCTCCCCCGTTCATGCTCTGTCTCTCTCTGTCTCAAAAATAAATAAACGTTAAAAAAAAAAAAAAGTTTAATCATCAGGGAAGTTATCATAGTCTGCCAAATCCAGTATAAGGTTTTTCAAATGGGATTCATGATTTTTTAGAAGATCACACTAAAAAAGGGCTCATGATGATTGGTTTTAAATGGTGAAATGAGATGAAAGGATCTTTTTTTTT